TACTGAAATCAAATTTTTTATTTCAGTTAATATTTGATGCTGTCCTTCAAATAATGTATGGTGCTGTGGTTCCATGGAGTGATGCAGTGGAGCAGCTTGTCAAACAACATCTAGAAATGGATCATCCAAAGTAAGAACTAAATATCGATACCCTCTTACATCCTATTTTCTTCACCATTTTAGATTGTCTCTGCATTTTTAAAAATGTATTTTATTAGTGTATAATTTATTTTAACATTTTCAACATAGACAATGAAGGGTTACTAAGCCTTTGATGTGCTTCTGAGCGCATTTACCAAGCTGAAAAGAAAATAGAGAAAAAGTTAAGGGAGGCATTCCCTTTGCATTCTTGGTTGAAATTATTCTACATTTTAAATACTGCATTCACTGCGTGTTCATTCGCTGAGGAAGATGGAGAGAGATATTAAAGGAAATTATTGCACCTTCTTAAAAGTTTTATTAACGATTATTGAGCAGTTTCGCAACAAAACAAAACATCATACAGCAGATTTTCAACTAGTCAAAGAGACAAAAAGATCATATGACATACAGTTTAAGGGGGAGGACATCCATAATAATGGAGCCATCCGCAAAAAGTCAAAATAAACCATTGACATACAGCTTAAAGAGGAGGGCATCCATAATGATGGTGCCGACAAAAACTATTGAACTATTAAGAAACCATAGAATTAAAGAACCAGAGCATTAATTATATAGAATATATGCTATACATGTTCTCACATTGTAACAGGGACTTGCTAGGGCATTTGGTAATGGTAAAAGGTCTAGGGTGGAAAATGAGGTAGGTCATTTGTGGGTCTAAATCTATATGGGGGTCGGAGCGAGGGGTTCATGGAGACAACCGGATGGAGCTAGTAGGGTAAGGATGGGAGCCTATATATAAAGCGGACGGGGGACATTCGAAGAATCGGAGGCCATATAATCTAATTGTAGAAACCTGTGTAAAGGGACCGGACCATTCAGCTTGGCAGATCATAAGCTGTAGTGGCCAGAATAAAGAAGTGCAAATCAGCTTTATGATTGATAGAGATATCGTTGTGAATAAAGTCGTCCCATTCCGAAATGTTTATACCCCGCCCAGTATTACGGGTGAGCATATCTAACAGGTCCATAGAAAAAAAAATTAAAGAGCAAATGTTATTTGCTCCAAGCAGGCATAGATGTTCCCAGCGGTTTGGGGAGGGGGGTTGCCGGGGGGTGTATGTGCTAGGCAGGGAGTGGAACAGACATATCAAGAGGTGTGCGTCTCGGTATGTGCCCGTAATGGAACCCATGTAAGACATTGTTTGGGTCCAAAAAGAATTAATAGTCGAGCAAGTCCAGAAAAGATGGGTGATATCGGGTAAGTATGCGGCACATTTAGGGCATGCAGTAAATCTATCGGTATCTGAGGATTTGGGTAAAAAGTTGAAAGCATAATAGGCTCTGTGAAGCAATTTAAATTGTATTTCCCTACAAACTTCACAGGTGGTGATTGCACCTTCTTGCCACAGATGTTACACAAACTTCACTATAACCAATAAAATGAACATATTCTATTTAGTGCGTGTTCGATTAATCGAAATTTTTTTTTAATCGATTAATTATAACGCACATACAGATCCAACTACATTGGCCTATACACATACAGCACAGCAATGAAGTAATAAAATGAACTAGGATCACACTAATCCAGCACGTTATTAATCTCACGTGCCCCACTCAATATGGCCGCCGCTTGAGTGTGGCAACTCAGAATAATGTGCTGGATTAGTGTGATCCTAGTTAATTTTTTTACTTCATTGCTGTGCTGTATGTGTATAGGCCAATGCCTTGGCTGGCGCTCGTACAGAGCGCCAGCACTTCCGGTTTCGTTACAACTAAGAGGTTGGGCAAACCTCTTAGTTGTAACGAAACCGGAAGTCAGGCGGTTGCAGAACTCGATAAGTGTCGACAGATCACCGGCCCAAGTGGCTCCATCGGCTAACGAAGTGAAGGGGGAGGAGTCAGGTGACGTCACGGACATCGACTCCACGGACTCCTCCCCCTTCCCTTCGTTAGGAGCCACTTGGGGAAGGGGGGAGGAGTACGGTGACGTCTATGTCCGTGACGTCACCGGATCTCCGACGGAAGACCCGGAAGCCAGCGGAGAGGTGAGTGTTTTTCATTATTGATCAAAAGAATTTTAATTGATCAAAAATGTTAACGATTCATCGGGTAATTAATTGTTAATTTCCGCAACCCTAATTCTATTCAGAAAGTAAAACTGTTAATATCAGTTCTCTTAAGTGAGAGCATATGGGAATACCAATTTTTCAGAAGGCCAGTGTTCAAGTAGTTGAAGTCCAACAGATACAGTCAATAAGGGTTGAGATATCCAAAAGAAAGGAAAGGAAAGGTTAAGTAGGTTAGCATATAATTTGTGTGAATAGGAATGTATTCAGAATGAATAAATAAGTGGGCAAAGGCCTTGTAAGTATATAAATCAAAATCGTTCCTCTTCTTGAGCCTTTAATCAAGGCAAACCAGAAGTGCTGTGCTCCGATGTTCCTTCACCCCTCGGTTTTGGAAGAGAGGTATAACATCACCTAATAGAATCCTGACTCTTTGCTCTTAGAGTAAAGAGTCTTAGTAGAGTGGAATGATGGTAACACTGGTAGGATCCTGGCACTATGACTCCTCAGCCTTGAACCTGGAGAAGATAGAACTGTTTCCGGTTCCCAGTAGTCCTCTCAGGAAGACTGCCTGACTTCTTAAATTTCCCCTAGACTGAAGGACATAATTTCTGTCCTTGTAGACATGGTTAGCACTTGTTTACAGTTAGAACCGCATGTATGGTCCTTTTTGAAGGTCACAAGTTTTGTAAGAATGCCTAAACAGGACCCTTGCAGTCTCTGCAGAGAATGTACCTGCCATGGGACATGGACAAGAGATTAGAAGCCCTCTTTAGGGACTTATTTGGCCTTCTAAGCCCAGCCATGCAACCCGGCAATGTGTCAGACCTCATCGGTCTAATCCAGGGATTCTGATCTAGCTTAGCTGACTCTAAGATTCTGAAACAGCTAAAGCTTTTTCCAGTGGTCCTGTGCTACTAATGGGATGGTCTGGTGTAGGGATGTTCAGATACCAGTGCAAATACGAGAACTACCAGGGTTGCAGCTTGGATCTGGCTCTGGCGCTTCACCATTGTCCTGAATTCATTAGTCTGTATTGTTTTAGAAAAACTGTCACATGATAATAAACAAAAATGTATCATACTTGTATCTGTGAGTACTTGGGCAAGTATCAGTACTTGTAAAAATGGTATCGGTGCATCCCTAATATATATATTTATTTTTAAAAAAATACATTAAAACAGGATTGTACAAATCCCAGGAGCTCCGTATGCTCCTTACAAATGACAGCTGCCTCCTAACTTTTTTTTTTTTTTTTTTAAATCTTTGTTTATTGATCAGAGTAACAGTCTGACACAAAAACGTAACATAAGGGCCTGCACGCAGGCAGCCAACTGTTCAACACATAATACAAGAGTGTACAGTAAGGGTAGCAAAACCTCAATTGAGTCAATATGTTTCAAGGCACAGTGGCATAACAATTTGTCACAGTCCCGACTTTTAGCGTCAAACTAGCCACTGGTCAGAGTATTATGCACCATAAACGGAGTGTATTCATTTTTCGTCGTATGCTACATATGCTCCATGCTTAAGGAACGATTCTTATAACTAAATTAGGTCAGTTGCTGCTAAATGGAACACTCTCCGGTAAAATCTAAAGAATCGTACAAAACAGCAAGTCATACCACTCTGCATACACGGAGCCCCAAGCACGGAAGCAGATATCATTAAACATAACTAGCATTAATTCAGTAAAAAGAGAGAGTACGAGGTCCACAAGGGATGCAGAAGGAGAAAGGTTGGAAATAGCTGCCTCCTAACTTTTGAATTTTTCTCTAGTCTAGTCTTGGAGCTGGAAAAGTATCTGTACATGTACTTGTACCGAGTACGGTACTTTGGTATCTGAACATCCCTAGTCTGCTGGATATTATTATACGACAGATATATAGGAGGAGCCTCCTGTCCGTTCACATGAGCTGGATCCTTAAAGTGTTGGTCATCGGAGCTCCACCACATCAAGGAAGGGAGGAGGAGAGAAGAGGTACTGTAGCTTCTTACCTCAGAAGAAAAAGCCTACAAATCTGATAGCCAAGTCTGCTGCCTCCCTTGTCTTTCACAGGCTTTGGGTTCCAAACCCAGATAGGGTATGCAACTGTTCAAGGCCAGGACCTCCAAGCCCGCTAAGATGGTCAGTAAGCCCACTTATACAGTGGGTATTGAAAAGAATCACCCCCCTTTTAAAATAATCACATTTTGTTGCTTTGCAGCCTGAAATGAAGACCGACAGTTTTTCTTTTATCCAGCTGTATTAACTCAGATCTTTTACTTGGATGTTATAAGTTGCACTAACACCAACATGTCAGGGAAAGAAGAAACAAAAAGGATCACCCCCGCCTAAAAATGACTTGTAAACGCAATCAGGTGTAGCTATTCACCTTCTCAGTGGCATACAAAGCCATTTGGCTTTCAACTGTGATCATTCTGTAGTCATTTTGATTAGCTCGGCATAAAAAGAGCTTTCCTGGAGCATTTCAGTCCCTGTTAGTGCAACTGAAGCAAAGAATAAACTATGGGTGGCAGGGCACTGGCAAAAGATTCCGGGATAAAGTTGTGGACAGGCACAAGTCAGGAGATGGATACAAAAAAATGTCAAAGGCTTGATCAATGCCTAGAAGAACAGTAAAGTCTAATATTCAGAAGTGGAAAGTATTTGGTACAACACAGACCCTCCCTGGATCAATATGTCCAAACTGAATGAAAGAGACCTGGTTGACAGAGGAATCTTGTCTCCTAAATAACATCGCCAGTTACAAGGCAACCCCACCAGGATTGTCAGACAAAGTAATTGCCATTGCTTACATGAACCATCAGGGAGGAAGCGGAAGTTGTGCAGCTCAAACAGAAGTGGATCTGATCCTGGCTTAGTTGGAAATGCACATACTGGGTCTGTCCGATGTTCTGGGCCCATAGGTGGACTTTTTCAGTCAGAGTCCATGGAATGATAACTTCACCTAGAGGTTTTTCTGTATCTTTTTCTCAGGTAGGGGATGCTGGCCGGGCACATTTTGGTGACTAGGATTAACAACAAGCTGGACAAGTTTGTCGCTTGGACCAGGGATCGCCAGGCCTCAGTCATGGATGCCTTGGTTACTCCGTTCAGTCTGATATGTGCCATCCCTCCTCTGAATCTCTTGTCTCGACTCCTTCGCAGGGCATTCCAGTGATCCTCATAGCTCCCAACTGGCCCAGGAGACTGGTATGTGGACCTAGTCAAACTCCCGATAAGACTCTCCAGGGGGTATTCTGGATTGTCCAAACTACTATTCTAATGAGCTGTATTCCACCCTGCTTCTCAGTCACTTGCGTTCCTCAAAACATCCTAAAAAGTTTATCTGTACTGTTTATACATGGTTCTGCCTGTTCTGGCTTTTCTGAGGATCTCCATATGGGTCAGCCAGCTTGTCGTTCCACTATTACCAGGTGGATTCGGCTAACTATACCTCAGGCCTAGGTAAAGGTATAATCCCCCCCCCCCCCCTTCCAATTAGGGCCCACTCTTACA